ACTTTCTTCTGCCAGTAAGAAACTGGGCGAAAGAAGCACCGCCATGTAGAGCATCAGCTCACCCGGTGACAAGCCAGCTGGGCGTGGTCTTCCTTTTTCTGAACTAGAACATCCAGTAAGATCAGGTCCAACTTCGTTGGTTTAAAAGGTCTCTGTCCCCCGGAGGCCCTTCCGCCCCAAAGCCTCCCTCTGAAGGAGCAGCAGAGGGCCGGCCGCGGTTCCCATCAACATAAATAAGGCAATGGCCACCACAGGTCGGAAAAGGTGCGCCCGACAGAGCAGCAGCTGCAGCAGCCGGCCCTGAAACAGGCGCCTCAGAACCTACGGGGCCATTTGGAACCACGAGAGACCCAGCTGAGCTGCAGCCAAAGGCCTGCTGGGGATTCTTTCCAGCCTTGCAACGCCAGCCACGCGCAGGCCGCTCTAAACCCTCTGCGGCTTCGGGGATCTGCCCAGTGGGGGAGGGCAGACCCAGCTACCAAAGCCCTGCTCAACGGCACCACAGCAGCCAGCCCAGAGCCACAGGGCCCGCCAAGGAGCCCGCTTGCTGGGCCACAAACCGGGTTTCCTGTCCCATCACTCAGCGGGGGACCAGCTGCCCTTCCTTGGCCCAGGGGAGTTCCGACTTCTGGCCCTGGAGCGGGACCGAAGGCAGGAGGGGCTGCGGCTCCTTCGGGCAGAACCAGGCGGCCGAAGTGTAGCAATGCCAGGTCATCTCTGGCCCCTCCATGACCAGGAACGTCCAGGACTGTGGCGGGATGGAGAGGCCCCATGCGACAGAAGGGCCTGGTCTGGGCTTTCGAGAAAGAGCCGTTGTTCTCAGAGCCTGGACCATGGCAGGGAACCCCAAGGCTGCGCCTTCTGGCTTAGCCTGACCAACTCGCTAGGACGGCCACCAACGTGGGGCAATCCATCAAACTCGACCTCGCCACCCCCGAACCGAACGGTACCCACCTCTTCCCTGCTCGGCCCGCGTTGGGGTTCAGAGGGAGCAGGAGGGCAGCCAGGGGCCTCCATCCGGGGGAGGGTGCAGGCTTGCCACCAAGGACAGGGAGAGAGCATGGCGAGCTCCGTGTTGCAGGGATCCTACGGCACCACGAGCCAAGGCGCAGCGGAGGCTTTATGAGCACAGCCTGGTCCGACAGGTGTTCGGCGTCACCTGAGAACCTCCCAACCAGCGGAGGATGGGAGTGGCCCCGGGAGCAGGAGCCCCTTCCTCTCCAGGTTCACCTCTCCACCAAGCCCTGGTCTCCGCAACTCAGCAAAGGAAGGGAGCCGCTTGTCCAAGCCAGACAGAAACAGCCATGGCAAACCTCAGGCCAGAGATTCCTGGAGCCCTTTCCCCCGGTGGGGGTTCAGCTGATCCACCAGGAGGCACCCAGGCAGCCCACAGGCCATTTGATTTCGGCAGAGCTGCCAGCACAGAGACCACCTTCCGAGCAGCCCAGATTCTCCAGGGAGAAGGCTTCCTAGCTGACCCCAGGGTCCTGGGGAGTTCGGGTTCAGAATCTAAGTTCCTGTTTGCAAGAAATGCACAACGGGATGCTCCCACATTGAAAACGCAAGGAAAAATAGCAGCCAGGCTGAACTCCAGCAAAGGCCGCCTCCTCCCGCAGCTCTGGAAGAAGGAAGGCGATGCCTTTGGGGTCCAGAAGAAACACGACCTGGCAGTTTTAAAGACCAAGCAGAAAACCCTTCAAGGCTTGGGAAGCAGCTCCACATCTCTGCAAGGTGGGCCCAGCCCCCAGGCGAGGCATCCGAGAAGCCAGGGGTTAAGGAGGCTGCCTTCCCAGGCTGGCCCTGCTCCAAGCAGCCTGGGCCCAGACCGAGCGAGCGAGCCAGCGCCAGAAACACCAGCCAGCTCGGTTAAAAGCCAGGCTTGCCGCAAAACTGAAACTGGAACCCAACTGCCTTCGCCAAGCAGGCCAGCCGGGCAAAACCTTTGGCAGGGAGTCTCCTCAGGTCTTGAGAAGGAGCCAAGCCCTGTGGCTGGACGGAAGTGGAGTCCTCTGGGCCCTGGGTGGGGGTCTGCGTGGGGGCCTGCCAGCTGCCCGCCCTAGAAGGGTCCTCAGGCCCTGCCCACTCACGGGTCAAGCTGGGCTCCCCACTTGCCTCTGCTTTGCCCGGGGGGGGGGGGTCCTGCCCTTCAGGCGCCAAATGCCCAACAACACGGGATACTCCGACAAGGACGCAGCCGGCCCAGCTGCCCCGGCGCCTGCTTGGGCCGGCTCGGAGGGGAAAGAACCGCGTCATCGGTTCCTGGGAGAAGGGAAGGCGGGAGGGGGCAGCAGCCACAACACCCGAAGCTTCGGCCACCTTAGCTCAACTTCGCTGCCCGGAAGATCGCCCCCCCCCCCCCCCCCCCCCCCCCCCCCCCGGGCGGCGCCCCCCCCCCCCCCCCCCCGGCCCTGGAGCTCGCGCCCTTCGGCCAGCCGCGACGGGGCCCTTCCGGCCGCCACATCTGGCCTCCGCCTGGCCAGAACATCCGCGGGAGAATAGGGCCGCCCTCCCCTCCCCCTCCCCTCCCCTCCCCTCCTCCACGCGCTCCGGGGACAGACGGAGCCCTCGCGAGGTCGCGGCCCGGCAGATTGTCCGACGGGGGAGGCCGAGCACTCGCAGCCCGCGGGAAGGGCGGGCAGGGGCGCGTCTCCATCCCGGGAGCCCCGGCGGGCAGCACATCTCCCGAGCCGGCGGCGCGCTTCTCGCCCGACCGCCGCCGCCGCCGCCCCCGGCCCCCACTCACCATGGCCGCGCGCGCCGGGTCCGTCGGGTCAGGGCGCAGCTGCAGCCCGGGCGCCGCCACGGAGAGCTCGGCGGAGCAGTCGCGCCATGCAGGGAGCCGGACTGGAGCCGCCCCTCGCCGGGGCCCTGGAGCCGGGCCGAGAGGGCGGCTCCGCGCGGCGCTCCTCCCGCTGCCCGGCCCGCCCGGCCCCTCTGCCCAGACCAGGAAGCTCGGCCCGCGCCCCGCAACAGCCTCGCCAGGTGGGCCGCTCGGCTCGGGGGCGGGAGGAGTTGCACGACCCGGCGAAGCCCGGAGCTGCCGCGGGACTCCTGTCCGGCAGCCGCAGGGGAAGAGCCTCGGGCACCGCCCGCCCGCCGCCCCCCTGCCCGCCCGGACCGGCTGAGCGGGCTGGACGGAGAGTCCCGGGACGGCGGGCGGCAGCGGCCCCTGGCGGTCGCGGGGGAAAGAGCAGGCCGAGCTCCGGCGGGGCCAACCGCCCTTCGGGCCCCAGAAGGCCCCGGCCGCGCCGCCCCCTCCGGGGCAGCAGGGGGCCCGCGGCGGCCCCAGCGGGGCGCTCCCGTCCGCCGCCGGACTTGCGCGAGGCTTTCCTGCGGGGGGAGGGCAGCGGAGTCCAGGACTGGGCGCGAATCCGCGGGAAATACCGGGTTTTGCGCGGGGCGGTTTCCGCTTCTCGCTGCCTCTGCAGCCCTTTGGGGGCTCCTGGCTCCGCCCGGGGGGCAGCCTGGCCGGCCTCGGCTGCGCTGCGCCCTCTAAATCCGCTCCTTTTCTCCTCTCCCGCCAGGAGGGCCTCGCTTTCTGGAGGAGGAGATGGAGGTTGCCATAGCGACAGCGTCCTGGCAACCGCTCGCAGCGCTTTGCTCCTTCCTCCCTCCCTCCCTCCGTTCCTCCGCCCCCCTTCCCCCAGGACGCTGGCAGAGGCCCCACCCGCGAAGAGGCGAGAGGGCAGGTGCGCCTCTGCCGCGCAGCCCCAGCCCGACGGCCATGCCAGCCTCGGGGGACGGCTCCGGCATTCCTGCACACCTGGGAGTGGGCAAAGGAGGCCGCCCGATGCTTAGGCAACGGTCTGGGGCAGCCCTGCCCTGCTACCCGCAGGTAAGGAGGGGTTCGGGCACAGCGCTTCCTTCCCTCGGTCTGGAAAGGGGGCGCCCGAGGCTACCTTGGCCCTGCCAGGCACCTGCTTCCTCAGGTGAGCAGGCATCCTGGCCAGAATGAAAGGGGGGGGGGGCGAATGGGGGAAGGTTTTGCTCTGGAGATGGGCAGAGCCAAAGCAGCCCCCCTCCCTCTGGTGATGCCTCTCCCTCTGGGCTCTCAAGTTTGAGCATCATGTGGGGCTCTCGATGCAGATGTGGCATGTGGTGCTGTGAGTTGCTGAGCTGCCTGGGGGGAGCGGGGGACCTTCCCGGGGAGAAACCCCCCACCCGGCTCCTCTTCACTCTGCATTACTGGCCCTGAAAGGGGGGAGGGGGGGAGGGCAGGTCTGCCCAGTGGCATCAGCCCAGCGGGGGTCCCTGGAGAATCTGGCAGGAACCATGAGGAGGCTGGCGGGGGGGGGGGGGGGGGGGGGCAGGCAAGGAGACCGGCCGTCCTTCCTGTTTTGCTTGCCCGGCCAGATGGGAGACCGGCTGGCCGGCAGAACCTCAGCCGTTCTTGGACTAGCAGGCAGGCAATGGGGGGACTCTCCAGTGGGGGTGTTTCCAAGGACCGCTGGTTGCCATGGAGACCCTCCTGGGTTATTCGGATGCAACCCCCCCCCCCCGCCTCTGGTCCAGCCTGCTTTGCTTTGGAAAGAGCCTCACTCCAAGCAGCCCCCCCCCCCC